CAGTTCTCTTTTGCCTATACTTGTGAAGAAATTTGAAACCATTAATATCGACCGAATGAGAAGAATCGTTTAGCCAGGTCTCAGAAATTCCGATTACAGAAAATTTTATGTTTAAGCATGATAGATAGTCGTCAGCTTTACTAAATTACGAGGAAGACTACGAATATTAATGCATCAGTCAATTCCACCTGCGCCCAGCCCCCCCCCCGGGCAACTGCGGGGCATTTGCCCGCCTTGTCAGTCCCGGGGGTGGGGCATTTGCAAATGTTGCACTGCCCGGGGGCCGGGCATTTGCCAACCCCCGGGCCAATCCCGAGCTTTTGACACGCACGTGGTTTCCTATCAGAATATAAGGTTTTACTGGAAGAAAAGCAGATTGGCTCATTTGTCAAGGACAGAAATAAATTGTAGAGGGTTGTAAAGGCATGTTCTCGATTTTAAATGTATGTATGCATTTCTTCATTGCTTATCAAGCCAGAATTACGTAGCGAAATTGGAGCTATCGATGTGAATCAACGTTTTTTGGTTATTGAATCAAATTTCTGTTGATATTATTATTTTGAAGAACATCCTCTCATATTTATAAAACTATTCATAACATATAACTTTACAGCGCTCTATCAATTTTAATGTCAATAATTTTATACCAATACTAAAACCATATTAAAACTGGTGCATGTCGTCGCGGCGTGAAGTCTTAATTAGAATCCTCGCGCTATTACAAAGGAAGACGTTAATTAAACCAAAAAAATCGCACATTAAAATGCTTAAAACGGCCCTATTTGACTGTGCGATCAATGAAAAATGTTGCAGTGTTGACGGAGGACGGGGCATTTGCCCTCTTTTTTCGTCCCCACCCCGGGGAATTTGACAGCTCAAGAGTCCCCACCCCCGGGAATTTGCCATCCAAGGCAAAAAAAATGCTAATGCCCGGGGGTCAGCCCGGGGGGGGGGGCCTGGGCGCAGGTGGAATTGACTGATGCATAAGATGTAGGAGAGAGAAATCGGTATCAGAATAACGTTCGCGTCTGAGCATTTCACTAAATTGATTTTCAATAAAATAGTCGCAGGGCGTCTCATCTGCATTAAAACTAGTAATAGTTGACACTACAGCTGCCCCCGTTCTGTATATTGTCGGTCAATAGTATTCTTGCTGTAGCTCTTTGAAATATACCCAGGAAATCAGGCCTGAAATATACCGATTCATAATGAACGATTTTCACACATATTCTACACAATAGGTGAGATAAGTACAGGAAACGCAAGGTTCCATGCACAGTTTCAGCTCGATTTACACAGCTTTGATCAAAACATTCTCAGTTTCGAGAATAGTTTATTCTAAACCATAAGAAAAGATTTAATTAGAAGTTGAATTTCTCGTTATTTCTCTTTCCCTTTTTACATTCAGTTCATTTTATTTGCCGGAAAGTAAGCCTTAGAAATTAAAAGGACGTTTGATCGATTCACGCTAGCGCATTCTAGTCTTATTTGAAACTTTATAACGGAAGGACATCTGTGAGCAGGGAATAAGTCAGCACAGAATTTGATTGTCGGCGAATTTCTGTAAATGTCCATCAATCTGCTAGTGATAAGCTAGTCGTTGTTCACTCATCTTGCTTGTTTGGGGCTGAGTCTAATTCCGGTCAAAGAGAGAGAAAAAGTGTCTGGCAAGGTTTCCAATATAAATCAAAGATTTGTGAACTCGTGTCTGGCAAACTTTCCATGTGTTTATACACAGTTAAACGCACCTTATAACCTCCCCTGCGCTTAACGAGTGTCTATTGGTCCATAACTTTCAAAACAGCTGCTCCACAGAATGTCACTGCGTAACGCAAAAGGGTATCGAAGTATGACTGCACAATAAATGTCACAAAATCTACGTGAGCGGTCCCTTCATGATTTTCTGTCTTTACGTCATCCTAACCATTTCGTACTTGCGGGCGCAAACAATAGAAACGTCATCATTACCTACCGATTCCTCGCGGCCCCAGTCCGAGCAAATCGAGATTGTTTCTAGTATACTGACTGTATATTTGAACTGTAAGTACTGTCCTCAATGTACGCGCGAGTTACTAGGGTGCCTCCTCGGGATTTCGCCTCTTGGTGAAATCCCTGCGGGGGCAATTAATGTCAGGATCAAGACTGCCAGACTGTGTCAAAGAAGCATTTGAGTTTGAAAAAATTGGATTGTAACGTAAGCTAGAAAATCTATCGGGATCAAAGTGAACAGGACCATTCTGTAGTTTATATAGCGCCAGAGAAAAGCTAGAATCGTCTAAATGATTAAAGGGCAGTAAATCTGATAGCGAGTATTGTGTCACTGTCATTTTAGCAGTAAAGTAACTAACAAACTTATCTGATTTAGCCACGTCTGTCCTTTACAATCAACTTGTCCAATACAGAGTACGCTACGTTTCCATTCCGCTTTGCTTCCTCCAGCTTGGGTCTCTGTTCTTCACGCTTATCTAGGGTCTCCTTAGCAAGATCTTCATTTACGTATAAACCGACAGGTTTAATTCTTCTTGTCATCTTCAATATTTGCTCCTTTTGCTTAAAGTCTCGAAGCTTGCACACAATTGTGCGAGAGCATCTTCTAGGGCCAGAAACAACCCTACCGACACGATGAGCACGTTCGATGTGGAGCGCTTCTTCAAGGTTGAGCTTCTCCGCTAGAACTTGTTTGACTTTTTCCTCTGTAGTGTCCCACGATTAGTTTTCTTCTTCTAAGATCCCATCAATTCTGATGTTGTTTCTTCTACTCTGATTCTCCAAATATTCTAATTTGTCCATATGGTAGTCGATACAGTCGTATGAGTCCTCGATGTCATCCTCTATCTCAGCAAGTTTGGATTTACATGGCTTCAGTTCGTCGATATCTTTCTGAGAGAATTCAAGACTTTGTTTGAATTCTTTTGTCCTTCTGGCATATGTTTAGGCGATTCTTAAGTTCAGCCACAGTTCCAACCACTGTATCTAGTCGAGAATTGAAATTGCTCACAAGCGAATCTACAAGGGTTTAAACATCCTTTCTTAAAGCTAACGCATCTCATTCAAAATCGCCATCGTTGCAAAATTCATTCGAGGGATTCTTGTCAGCGCTTGGTGAGCCGCCGGATGTCTTAGACTTACGTGTTTCTGGCATAATGTTGGTGCTCAGGAAAAACAAAAATACTGACAAAGAGATGAAATAGGCAAGGAAAAGAGTGAAATAATCAAAATACGAAGAGGTAAAAAATTACCGTCCACCAGCCATAAATATGCAAATGACATCATGCTGTTTACAATTTAGTGCTGCGATGAAGTTTCCAAGTGAATGTTGAGTGGTGCTAAAATTATCATAAATATCAGCAGTGCTTGCGTGTTCTTCTCCAAACAGTTTAAGGCACGTGTCAGGTGCATGCTTAAAAAAATCTGGTGCTGCGTTGAAGTTTCCAAGTAAATGTTGAGTGGCTCCAAGGTTATTATAACTGTCAGAAGTGCTTGCGTGTTCTTCTCCAAACAGTTTAAGACGCATGTCAAGTGCATGCTGTTTAGAATCTATGCTAGTGCTGCGTTGAAGTTTCCAAGTGAATGTTGAGTGGTGCCAAGGTTATCATAACTATCAGCAGTCACTGGGTGTTCTTCTCCAAACAGTTTGAAGCGGATGTCGAGTGCATGCTGATCAGAGTCTAGTGCCGCGTCTAAGTTTCCAAGTGAATGTTGAGTGTTGCCAAGGTTATTATAACTATCAGCAGTGCTTGCGTGTTCTTCTCCAAAAAGTTTAAGGCGGATGTCAAGTGCATGCTGTTTAGAATCTAGTGCTGCGTCAAAGTTTCCAAGTCAATGTTGAGTGGTGCCAAGGCTATAATAACTATTAACAGTCACTGCGTATTCTTCTCCAAACAGTTTAAGGCGGATGTCAGGTGCATGCTGATCAGACTCCAGTGCTGCGTCTAAGTTTCCAAGTGGATGTTGAGTGGTGCAAAGGTTATCATAACTATTAGCAGTGCTCGCGTGTTCTTCTCTAAACAGTTTAAGGCGGATGTCAAGTGCTTGCTGTTTAGAATCTAGCGCTGCGTCAAAGTTTCCAAGTGAATGTTGATTAGTGCCAAGGCTATAATAACTATTAGCAGTCACTGTATGTTCTTCTCCAACAAGTTTAAGGCGGATGTCAAGTGTATGCTGATAACAATCTAGTGCTGCGTCTAAGTTTTTAAGTGAATGTTGAGTGGTACCAAGGTTATTAAAACTATCAGCAATGCTTGAGTGTTCTTCTCCAAACAGTTTAAGCAGGATGACAAGTGAATGCTGTTTAGAATCTAGTGCTGCGTTGAAGTTTCCAAGTGAATGTTAAGTGGCTCTAAGGTTATTATAACTATCAGCAGTGCTTGTGTCTTCTTCTCCAAACAGTTTAAGGTAGATGTCAAGTGCATGCTGAATAGAATCTAGTGCTGAGTTGAAATTTCCAAGTGAATGTTAAGTGGTGCCAAGGTTATTATAACTGTCAGCAGTGTTGGGTGTTCTTCTCCAGACAGTTTAAGGAGGATGTCAAGTGCATGCTTTTTAGAATCGAATGCTGTGTCGAAGTTTCCAAGTGAATGTTGAGTGGTGCCAAGGCTGTAATAGCTATTAGCAGTCACTGCGTGTTCTTCTCGAAACAGTTTGAGGCGGATGTCACGTGCACGCTTATCAGAATCTAGTGCTGCGTTGAAGTTTCCAAGTGAATGTTGAGTGGCTCCAAGGTTATCATAACTATCAGCAGTGCTTGCGTGTATTTCTCCAAACAGTTTAAGGCGGATGTCAAGTGCATGCTAAAACGAATCTAGTGCTGCGTTGAAATTTCTAAGTGAATGTTAAGTGGTACCAAGGTTATTATAACTATCAGCAGTGCTTGCGTGTTCTTCTCCAAACAGTTTAAGGCGGATGTCAAGTGCATGCTGTTTAGAATCCAGTGCTGCGTCAAAGTTTCCAAGTGAATGTTGAGTGGCTCCAAGGTTATCATAACTATCAGCAGTCACTGGGTGTTCTTCTCCAAACAGTTTAAGGCGGATTTTAAGTGCATGTTGTTTAGAATCTAGTGCTGCTTCGAAGTTTCCAAGTGAATGTTGAGTGGTGCCAAGGTTATTATAACTGTCAGCAGTGCTCGCGTGTCTTTCTCCAAACAGTTTAAGGCGGATGTGAACTGCATGCTGAAAAGAATCTAGAACTACGTTGAAGTTTCCAAGTGAATGTTGAGTGGCTCCAAGGTTATTATAACTTTCAGCAGTGCTTGCGTGTTCTTCTCCAAACAGTTTGAGGCACATGTGAAGTGCATGCTGATAAGAATTTAGTGCTGCGTCTAAGTTTCCAAGTAAATGTTGAGTGGTGCCAAGGTTATTATAACTATCAGCAGTGCTTGGGTGTTCTTCTCCAAACAGTTTAAGGCGGATCTCAAGTGCATGCTTATCAGAGTCAAGCGCTGCGTCTAAGTTTCCAAGTGAATGTTGAGTGGTGCCAAGGTTATTATAACTTTCAGCAGTGCTTGCGTGGTGTTCTCCAAACAGTTTAAGGCGGTTGTCAAGTGCATGCTGGTTAGAATCTAGTGCTGCGTTGAAGTTTCCAAGTGAATGTTGAGTGGTGCCAAGGTTATCATAACTATCAGCAGTCACTGGGTGTTCTTCTCCAAACAGTTTGAAGCGGATGTCGAGTGCATGCTGATCAGAGTCTAGTGCCGCGTCTAAGTTTCCAAGTGAATGTTGAGTGTTGCCAAGGTTATTATAACTATCAGCAGTGCTTGCGTGTTCTTCTCCAAAAAGTTTAAGGCGGATGTCAAGTGCATGCTGTTTAGAATCTAGTGCTGCGTCAAAGTTTCCAAGTCAATGTTGAGTGGTGCCAAGGCTATAATAACTATTAACAGTCACTGCGTATTCTTCTCCAAACAGTTTAAGGCAGATGTCAGGTGCATGCTGATCAGACTCTAGTGCTGCGTCTAAGTTTCCAAGTGGATGTTGAGTGGTGCCAAGATTATCATAACTATTAGCAGTGCTCGCGTGTTCTTCTCTAAACAGTTTAAGGCGGATGTCAAGTGCTTGCTGTTTAGAATCTAGCGCTGCGTCAAAGTTTCCAAGGGAATGTTGATTAGTGCCAAGGCTATAATAACTATTAGCAGTCACTGTATGTTCTTCTCCAACAAGTTTAAGGCGGATGTCAAGTGTATGCTGATAACAATCTAGTGCTGCGTCTAAGTTTTTAAGTGAATGTTGAGTGGTACCAAGGTTATTAAAACTATCAACAATGCTTGAGTGTTCTTCTCCAAACAGTTTAAGCAGGATGACAAGTGCATGCTGTTTAGAATCTAGTGCTGAGTTGAAATTTCCAAGTGAATGTTAAGTGGTGCCAAGGTTATTATAACTGTCAGCAGTGTTGGGTGTTCTTCTCCAGACAGTTTAAGGAGGATGTCAAGTGCATGCTTTTTAGAATCGAATGCTGTGTCGAAGTTTCCAAGTGAATGTTGAGTGGTGCCAAGGCTGTAATAGCTATTAGCAGTCACTGCGTGTTCTTCTCGAAACAGTTTGAGGCGGATGTCACGTGCACGCTTATCAGAATCTAGTGCTGCGTTGAAGTTTCCAAGTGAATGTTGAGTGGCTCCAAGGTTATCATAACTATCAGCAGTGCTTGCGTGTATTTCTCCAAACAGTTTAAGGCGGATGTCAAGTGCATGCTAAAACGAATCTAGTGCTGCGTTGAAATTTCTAAGTGAATGTTAAGTGGTACCAAGGTTATTATAACTATCAGCAGTGCTTGCGTGTTCTTCTCCAAACAGTTTAAGGCGGATGTCAAGTGCATGCTGTTTAGAATCCAGTGCTGCGTCAAAGTTTCCAAGTGAATGTTGAGTGGCTCCAAGATTATCATAACTATCAGCAGTCACTGGGTGTTCTTCTCCAAACAGTTTAAGGCGGATTTTAAGTGCATGTTGTTTAGAATCTAGTGCTGCTTCGAAGTTTCCAAGTGAATGTTGAGTGGTGCCAAGGTTATTATAACTGTCAGCAGTGCTCGCGTGTTTTTCTCCAAACAGTTTAAGGCGGATGTGAACTGCATGCTGAAAAGAATCTAGAGCTACGTTGAAGTTTCCAAGTGAATGTTGAGTGGCTCCAAGGTTATTATAACTTTCAGCAGTGCTTGCGTGTTCTTCTCCAAACAGTTTGTGGCACATGTGAAGTGCATGCTGAAACGAATGTAGTGCTTCGTCTAAGTTTCCAAGTGAATGTTGAGTTTTGCCAAGGTTATTGTAACTATCAGCAGTGGTTGTGTGTTTTTCTCCAAATAGTTTAAGGCGGATGTCAAGTGCATGCTGATAAGAATTTAGTGCTGCGTCTAAGTTTCCAAGTAAATGTTGAGTGGTGCCAAGGTTATTATAACTATCAGCAGTGCTTGGGTGTTCTTCTCCAAACAGTTTAAGGCGGATCTCAAGTGCATGCTTATCAGAGTCAAGCGCTGCGTCTAAGTTTCCAAGTGAATGTTGAGTGGTGCCAAGGTTATTATAACTTTCAGCAGTGCTTGCGTGGTGTTCTCCAAACAGTTTAAGGCGGTTGTCAAGTGCATGCTGGTTAGAATCTAGTGCTGCGTTGAAGTTTCCAAGTGAATGTTGAGTGGTGCCAAGGTTATTATAACTATCAGCAGTGTCTGCGTGTTCTTCTCCAAACAGTTTAAGGCGGATGTCAAGTGCACGTTGATCAGAATCTAGTGCTGCGTTGAAGTTTCCAAGTGAATGTTGAGTGGTACCAAGGTTACAATAACTATCAGCAGTGCTTGCGTGTTCTTTTCCAAACAGTTTAAGGCGGATGTCAAGTGCATGCTGATAAGAATCTAGTGCTGCGTTGAACTTTCCAAGTAAATGTTGAGTAATGCCAAGGTTATTATAACTATCAGCAGTTCTTCTGTGTTTCTCTCCAAAGCGTTTAAGGCGGATATCAAGTGCGTGCTGTTTAGAAGCTAATGCTGCGTCTAAGTTTCCAAGTGAATGTTGAGTGGTGCCAAGGCTGTAATAACTATTAGCAGTCACTGCATGTTCTTCTCCAAACAGTTTAAGGCGGATGTCAAGTGCATGCTGTTTAGAATCTAGTGCTGCGTTGAAGTTTCCAAGTGAATGTTGAGTAGTGCCAAGGTTATTATAACTATCAGCAGTGCTCGCGTGTTCTTCTCCAAACAGTTTAAGGCGGATGTCAAGTTCACGCTGTCTAGAATCTAGTGCTGCGTTGAAGTTTCCAAGCGAATGTTGAGTGGTGCCAAGGTTATTATAACTTTCAGCAGTGCTTGGGTGTTCTTCTCCAAACAGTTTAAGGAGGATGTCAAGTGCACGCTGTTTAGAATCTAGTGCTGAGTCTAAGTTTCCAAGTGAATGTTGAGTGGCTCCAAGATTATTATAACTTTTTGCAGTGCTTGCGTGTTCTTCTCCAAACCGTTTAAGGCACATGTCAAGTGCATGCTGAAACGAATCTAGTGCTGCGTCTAAGTTTCCAAGTGAATATTGAGTTGTGCCAAGGTTATTATAACTATCAGCAGTACTTGCGTGTTCTTCACCAAACAGTTTAAGGCGGATGTCAAGTGCATGCTGTCTAGAATCTAGTGCTGCGTTGAAGTTTCCAAGTGAATGTTGAGTGGTGCCAAGGTTACAATAACTATCAGCAGTGCTTGCGTGTTCTTCACCAAATAGTTTAAGGCGGATGTCAAGTGCGTGCTGTCTAGAATCTAGTGCTGCGTTGAAGTTTCCAAGTGAATGTTGAGTGGCTCCAAGGTTATTATAACTATTAGCAGTGCTTGCGTTTTGTTCTCCAAACATTTTGAGGCACATGTCAAGTGCATGCTGAAACGAATCTAGTGCTGCGTTGAACTTTCCAAGTGAATGTTGAGTAGTGCCAAGGCTATAATAACTATTAGCAGTTACTGTATGTTCTTCTCCAAACAATTTAAGGCGGATGTGAAGTGAACGCTGAAAAGAATCTAGTGCTGCGTTGAACTTTCCAAGTGAATGTTGAGTGGCTCCCAGGTTATTATAACTTGTAGCAGTGCTCGCGTGTTCTTCTCCAAACAGTTTGAGGCGCATGTCAAGTGCAAGCTGATAAGAATCTAGTGCTGAGTCTAAGTTTCCAAGTGAATGTTGAGTGGTGCCAAGCTTATTATAACTGTCAGCAGTGCTCTCGTTTTCTTCTCCAAACAGTTTAAGGCGGATGTCAAGTGCTTGCTGTCTAGAATCTAGTGCTGCGTTGAAGTTTCCAAGTGAATGTTGAGTAGTGCCAAGGTTATTATAACTATCAGCAGTGCTCGCGTGTTCTTCTCCAAACAGTTTAAGGCGGATGTCAAGTGCATGCTGTCTAGAATCTAGTGCTGCGTTGAAGTTTCCAAGTGAATGTTGAGTGGCTCCAAGGTTATTATAACTATCAGCAGTGCTCGCGTGTTCTTCTCCAAACAGTTTAAGGCGGATGTCAAGTGCATGCTGATAAGAATCTAGTGCTGCGTTGAACTTTCCTAGTGAATGTTGAGTGGTGCCAAGTTTATTATAAGTATCAGCAGTGTCTGCGTGTTCTTCTCCAAACAGTTTAAGGCGGATGTCAAGTGCATGCTGTTTAGAATCCAGTGCTGCGTCTAAGTTTCCAAGTGAATGTTGAGTGGTGCCAAGGTTATTATAGCTATCAGCAGTGCTTGCGTGTTCTTCTCCAAACAGTTTAAGGCGGATGTCAAGTGCATGCTGATAACAATTTTGTGCTTCGTTGAAGTTTCCAAGTGAATGTTGAGTGGTTCCAAGGGCTTCATAGCACGCTGCAAGTGCTTCCTTGTGTACCAGGTGCAAGGGTGTTTTTTCACTACACCGATCTAGAGCTTCTTCATGGAAACTAATTCTCATTACACATTGTAATGTGGTATCTTCCATTTTACCTAAAACATACAGAAGCTGCCTATGAAATTTACAGACACCTACGGAGATGTGCTCCTCTCTTTCGATCTGGCTCAGCATGTCATGTAAAATATTTGTGAAATGTTGTTTAGTTTCAGCATTTAAGAAATTCTGCATGGTCTGGCTTACGATAAAAATCATTTCCAGTTTTAAAGGGTTGTCAGATACGCCGATAATACCTCTTTGATTTTCTGTCACATTGCTAAGTTTCCTTCCTTCCCCTTGTTTTAAAGATAACACCGGCAGTTGGTCTGTATCTCCCGCCGCACTGCAAAGCAATTCATTTAATTCCGTGGAAGTGTTTTGAAATGGGGAAAATATTGCAAGAATTTGAAGAGTAATGAGCGTAAGACTTTTCTGATCTGGACTTCCATTGAACATCTGAAGAGAGTCTTGCAAATTCCGAATTCCATCTTCGGTCTTGCCGTTAACAAGGTGGTTGATACCTAAATAACACAGACGTTTTCCTTGTAGTTCTGACATAGAAATTGAAGGCAGTGCTTCAGCTTCAGCTTCCTCTGCTCTACAAAGCAACTGCATCGTACTTCCCTTTGCACCCCAACATGCTTCTCCAAACGCCTTTGAAACAAGTAATCGACTGTAAGATTCGGTTCTCTCAAACCTCTTCGTAGCCTCAATTGCTGAATCGTATATCTTGTTAAAGGTTGATGCTTCCTTAAAAAAAAGAGTAGCAAGAAACAACTCTCCCTTAGATAACACATCAAAAACAGTGTTAGCTGCCTTCGCATTCGCAAGCGTATTTAAAAGGCTTTGAATAATTCTTTCCTCATCTTCATAGAATTTAAGAAACGCTATCATTGAATGACCGGTCAGAAACTGCTCGTTTAGCTTTTGAAAAAGGGACACGTAAAACGCGTTCAATCGGTCCTTTGATTTAAGGACCGTGTCTTTCATTTCATTTTGTCCTTTTTCTCTTGCAAATGATTGTAGCAGCTTGTGCATCGTAAATAACTCTTGTTTCACATCTGAATCAAGAAGTGACTTTCTCCGAAGGCCGTGCAATACCTTCTTGGCCTGAAGATTTTTTTTGTCTAAAACAGCACCAGCGACCTCCGTACCAAAATTCTCTGGTAGAATACTCAATGACACTAGTGCTTTTTTCTCTTGTGCAGTTAGCCTCTCAAAAGATAAGTCAAAAAGAGACTGTAATCTGTACTCGTCTGGGTAATCTGGCCTGTCTAACCTCTCGGCGATACTCGCTCTGGAGGCGAACTGCATGAATTCATCGAGATACTGGCTTGGTTCAGCCTCACCTTCAGAAATTGAGGAACACAATAACCTTATTGCAAAGGGTACAAGTCCACAGATTTGCAGGATTCGTGTACAGTCTGAAGAACTTGCTGTAGGAAGAAGGGCTTTTACTAACGTCTTTGCAGAGTCTTCATCCAATGGTCTAATCCTTACACTCTGGTGACCTTGCAAATCCACATTCAGAAAACCTAGCGACTCTCTTGTTGTTAGAGCAAATATGGCGGCCTTACTTCGCCTGAGAATTTCTTTCAAAAGTCCTATGACCTCTTTCTTCACTCCCGGTTCACCATCTTCTAATAAATTATCAGCATTATCAAGAATGAAAATAGATCGATCGGAAATTTCGCTTAAAAGAAGACAAAGCTGATCATCAAGGGACGGATGCGAAAAGGATGGATGGTCATTTCTGACAGATGGCTTAACAAAGCTTAGAAGCTTTGAAGTGAGATCTGTTTTTGTTTTCAGTTCACGTAATGAAAGCCAACAGACCGGCATTCCTTTAGACTGGAGATCGTGTCCCACTGCAATAGCAACCGATGTTTTTCCGAATCCAGGTGAACCCCAGATCGACACGAGCCGGGTAGATTCAGAAGTCACGTGACCAGTAATCTCTTCGCATTCGCTTTGACGTCCAGTAAAATTAGGAACCATTGCAGGAAGGGAAGGTAAAGATAGCGATGGTCTCACACCTGTAACAGCAGTGATATATGGTTTCGTATTTTTAAGAATCTTAAGTGACATATAAGCAAACAAATTTGGCAATCCTTTTCTCGACCGCTACCCATTTAGTTTTGTTTATGCCTACTGCGTGAAATAAAAACTTTGCTGGTTTTAGTTCTTATAAACTTCTGTAGAGGGAAACGTCCGCCTCATGTAAGGTAATCCGGATCTCCAAATCCGGGAAAACTTTGCTTATGAAATCCGGAATCCTGAGTTTGGAATCCAGAATACAGCTTAAGGAATTCGGAATCCTACTAACGATTGGAATCCGGAATCCAATACCTAGAATCCAGAATCCACAGCGTGGAGTCGAGAAACTAAGACTGTCTTGGATTCCCTTGCACGGGGAGAGAAACATGAACAACAGCCAAGTAGAACCCCAGTAACTCGAACTCCGAAGGGAAACGAAAAACAGTTCGAATTAGCGGGAAATCGAGTTATCGAGGTAAATTTCATTGAAATTTTGATTAGGGAAAGGAAATTTTGCTCTAATTAGCGAGGAATTCGAGTTATCCGAGTTCGAGTTATCGTGGTTCTACTGTAGTAGAGTTCACATCTTTTTTTATATATATATATATATATATATATATATATATATATATATATATATATATATATTCCTGAGTGTCAATCAAGCGCGATTCTGTTTTCGAGTTGCAAATTAAATTAAGTAATTTTGTCAAGTTTGGTGACGCTTACACTGCATGAAATGAGTGGTCTATATACGGGGGGGGGGGGGGTACTCACAGTTATGGGCTTGGCTTAGTACAATGGGTTAGATAGGTATGTGCCGCCCTTTAGGGTATGATTTTTGAGGGACTCTTGGCCTTATGGCGTTGTATTCGCGGTGTAATCCTTAGATAGGGTAGCGTTATTATATCAGCTAACATTCAAGTACGTAAGTGCCAAGCTTGAGGAGAAACAAATCATCTGCTAAAGCTGAACTTACTTTAGAGTATTAGGAAAGCGATGTCAAGAAGATTTATGTGTTTCCGTTAAATTCATAAGGTTTTGTTTTCTTCTTAAATTGTTTAATTGGGTATCAGCTCTTGTGTTTCTCATCCAGTTAAATAGGGTCAGGGTATAAATATTATTATTATTATTATTATAAGACCCTGGGCGGTACACACCGTTGACATATTTGGGAGTACCCCTCCTACCGGGGGTGCTCAGCTAGTACATAACATCGTAAACAAAAAATACATGTAACATAAGAGTGTATGAACATAAGTGGCCATTAAATCGCTTAAGGGTATGCCAAGAAACATGTAAGGATAGTACATTCTATATTAACTAGTGAAACAAACTTACCTTTGTTAACATGATCATCATTTCCTTGATAGTGAGGCCATCTTTGGAAGACAACAGCATCATTCAAAATTTTGGCAACTAAAGAAGCAGCATTAGCACTTGCAAATTCGCTCCAATTTTCATTTGTACTCACGCTGCCATCGGCATAATCAGCAATTCCTTTTACAACAAGCCATTCAACTTGCAGGTCAAATGCGGCTGTGTAAAGTCCTGCGACAGAAACACACCGCTCATAAATAGGGCCATCTATAGATGAGAAATAAACTTGTAGGGCAGGATATCAAATAAAAAGGTGCGTTATCACAACCTGTAAATTCAGTTTGTGAATCGTAACAGGTATGGGTTGCTACTCTTCAAGGCTAAATCAAAATCGTTATACAAGGCTACTGTGTTTGAGACAAAGGGATGCCAAGAATGCTAAAGAATAGTTGTCCTGGAAGAAACATATCATTCTGACGCTGAAACTAGGCTCACAGATCGACCCGCTTCACATATAATTTGGGCGCTTGACTGTTCTCATGGTCAAAATTTTACAAACAGATATGAAGGGATCTGCGATCGATATTTTGGTTTCATGAACAAAAAAGTTACTGACGAAAAATTACAATAGTGACGTTCTTTTTTGTAATTATCGTCCTCGAAATCAGATTAACCATAGGTTTTTTGAAATTCCCTTAATCTTCAATGAATAATTTTATTTTAAAATTTTTTAAAATTGGGGAAAATCATTTATAATCATTTACAAAGCCTAAAAACCTAACTACCTTGGAAAAGTTATTTCAAAAACGCCATGTTTATCTAACCTGTACTTCTCTAAAGAACTCGGTGAAAGGCTACAAGGGTCTCTTTGGACTATACATACGACGGGTGTCGACGCAATGACCCGACTACTTTTAAATGGAGGAAAAACGCCCATTTGTAGTTTATTCCTGAGCAGTTAGAAAACCGATATGAAAGAGACCAGTATTTTCACCCTTGCAGGTATCGCCAATCGCTTAGGGTAGCGGCTAAAGGGATATGGAGAAAAAAAAAACGCCGCCACACTATGTTAAAGACAACGTTGCCCATTTTAGTATAGTCTGTTTTAGAGTTCAACTAAAAACTGAACTACACCCAGATTGGTCTCCCCGAGAGGTCTAGCTTTATTTTCTGACGATATGTCCCGCGAATCCCCGTAGCCTGAGACCAGGTTCCACAGTGGGGGGCAGGGGGAGGGGGAAGGAGAAAAAAATAGTCAGCGATCAAAGACCATCAAGACCATTCGAACGGGAGTCTGGGAAGGGGACAAAATGGCAGTGTGAGCTGGCGCCGCCCCCCCCCCCCCCAGTCCATTGCTAGGCTCGCTTCGCTTGCCGATTTGTTTTTGCTCTTTCACCGCTTTTTTTTACCTTTTGTCCCCTATTACAGAGCCTGACCCAGGCTATTTCCCCTGGGATTTCATTACCTTCGGCTTCAGAGTCAATGGCCACTACTTGAGGAAAGTTTTCAGCCAGCTGTTTACGCCGCCATTCTGCATTGATTACTTCTGGAACGCTCAACAGCTCACCGCTGCTGTGAATTTTGACTTCTCGATCTTCTAAGTTCTTCAAAGGAGCCTCCCATCCAAGTGCTGCATCCTTAATGAGGTCAAGAAATCGTTTACTAGCAAACGTTCTTATATTATTGTGCAGCTCTCTTTCGTTTGTCACTACCTTCAATCCATATGTTGTCAACTTTGCAGATATTACAACATCACCCAATTTGGTTTTCTCAGGACAGAGGCTACTGCAGGTTCCAACTAAAATCACTGCTTTGGGCTTAAGCACTGAGACAGCATTTTTTGTAGTCACTATGGAGCCTCCTGGACCACCAGAACCTTCATGACATCGCAATAAAGCGACTTTTACTTTCTCCTTTTGGCCTTCATTCTCATCCTCGAGATAAACAAAACCGACATCATCAAACCAACATTTGAATGGATTGTTCAGATTCATATAGCAAGCTGAGAACTCACAGTCCTTTACAGTCAGTAACAAAATGTCGACAGGAAGGCGTGCATGTTTCCGAAGCTTTGTTGGTACCTGGATATCACTCATGCGGGGTAGTTTAACAGTGAGCTGGGGCAGGTCTTCACAGGCGTCGCTGTTCTTACTCTTAGTTCCCCAATTTTCGCTCTCTGAGATATCTTCTTGTGCGTTGCTGGCAAAGTCCTTTGAAGGGTTTGACATTTCGCTTAATTTAGACTATGGATCTAGTATATAAAGAGTAAATAAACTGTCACACGTTTGTATAACTGAAATATTAGCGGGGAGAGGGCGTCTGTACACAACTAACGAAAGATTTCATTTAAAATAGTCAATGAAATTAGGAGCCTGTGTGCAGCCGCCCCATCCCCTAAAAAACAATCGGTGAAACAAAAGACGATTAACGAGCTTTAAGGAATTTTAAGTTCTGTCCTAGCTCTGGGATAGGAGCATTTGTAAAAATGTTTTTAACTCCCCGCGCACTGAGTGGATTGATATGAGACAGAGCTTTGCTCAGTCATCAGAGAAATTACTGCCATAAATTCAATGTGCACAGCATTGTTATTTTTTTCTTCTTACTTTATTTAAAGCGAAAGTTCTCAAATAGCTCATAACATGACAATGACGTTCTTTGGGTGCAAAGCCCTCCAGGTATCACACTTGAACGGCCCCGGTACAAATTCTGACTGTCAAAGATTTCGTTTGGGTGCCTCCTACCTTTTGTTTGACTGTTCGCGCGTACTTAAGAGCGCAAAAATACGGACTGTTTGCAGTCTACAAATCCCATTGCGGTTGAAAATAGAAAGTTAAAGCTATTATTATCGCTTACAAGTTTCCTCACGTGCTATGCATTTTTCTTTTGAAACATGGCATTGTAAAAAAATAAGAAAATACTATAGATTTTAGTAAGTCCAATAGACTTTCTAAAAGTCCTTTACAAATTGTTTCCCGGTTGGGACCTCGCGACTCCGTCGCTCGCTCAGTCGCTGCGCGACCCGTCGTTGAAGCTCGCTTCGCTCACTTTTTCCCTTCCCCTAAGAACTTATGAGAGGTCCACTTGTAGCAAGTCTATGGGTCAAAAGGATATATTATTAAACTGCGTCCACAGTCTGTTTAGTCTGTTTAAAAGCCACCTGGATAAAATTTGGATAGATCAGTGATCACCTCAACAGTCATCAACAAATGTTTAGTTAAGGTAAAAAAACCACTGCAAAAACCGTGTACGAACAATCTTGCTCAACGTCGGATCCAAAAAGATCGTGGTCAGTCAAAATATTATAAAATTGAAAACGTCACAGTCAAGAAGACTTTTGCAGGGACTGATCAAACAACGTGAAATAGAGTTAGGTTGCGATATTTCGACTGGCCAGTCGAAATATCGCAATCTAACTCTATTTCACGTTGTTTGATCAGTCCCTGCAAAAGTCTTCTTGACTGTGACGTTTTCAGTCATCAACAAATTTATTTCTAGGTACCCTAGCTGTCGCATGTTCTAAACATTTCGCAGGATTTCCGGGTTTGTTCCTTTCGATCAAATCGGATTATAGAAAGACGGTCGATTTCATGGTACGTTTAGAAAAAGAAATTGAATAGGTTCACTATTTATGGCGGCTGACTAAGTTCTTTATTTTGAATTCAAGTCTTCGCCACCCTAGCCTGCGAAAACATCCGTTCCGTCCTCGCTCTTCGCCGCTCAAGAGATGTTTTTTTGCAGGCTATCTCTTCCCTTATGTAATTGCATTTGGCGGAACGCTGCGTTCATGATTGTTGGCGGTTGTTACGGTTCTAACATGTTCTTAGGCAGCGAATACAGTTTCATTACAGGGGCGTAGCGTCCCCTACGCAAAAACGCACGTACGTACTTGAGAAATTGGTAGGATTTTTCTAAAGATTTTCTGTTTTAAGTAAAAGCTATTTGTGATGTCGTGACTTGACTTTGTATTGTGCAGATTTGTTCCTTTCTGTCTAGCTGTTATGATAAATTCGAAACATTGTTTGCCTTCAGGCGATCCCACAATATATTGCGTATTCATGAAAATCGGAAAAGAATCGACCCTGACTGATTATCATTCCTTTTAGATTTACACTCTTTTTTTTTTTTATAAGAATATTGTTTTTCCGGCCCAGGCTGAGTATTCTTATTTTTCTGCCGATTTTAGGCTGAAAATATTCTTGTATTATTCTTAAATTATAGCTTATGACATTTCCGTTTTAGAATTTATTGGGGTGTCAATTATTTGGTATCTAGACCTGTATCGCGTTACATTGTGCACGTGCTCCATCGCTTTTCGTTGCAGTCAGTTTATGTCTTTTGTGCTGAATACTGTACATATGTATTACATGTACCGTTCATCGAACTGTCATTAGCGTTGAACATTGTGCTATAGCTAGTGCAGGTTTTTTCTTTTTGTTGGCTAGTTTCGCCGTTCAGAGAAAGGAATAATTTTATGCGGTTAAGTTAAAAACATAAAATTGTATTGTATTTACAGATGTTTCAACACACAAAATTGTATCCATCCTTTTCAAAATCTCAGCCTCGGCTTTATTCTTAAAATATTCTTAAAATTTCGCAAATTTCAGCCTCGATATTCTTATAAAATATATTCTTATATAAAAAAAAGAGTGTATCTGGAAAGGTTTCCCATTCAAAAGCTTTTCATTCGTTTAAGATTTTTTCCCTCTCTCTCTCCCCATAAATATCAAAAAAGTCTATCAGAGACTACTTTAATGTCGCTCAACTGGAAAGTTATGGACCAAACCATGTCGACGATAATCCACGTAAGCTGAAGCAAACTATTCGGTGCACGTTTGGAGTGGTATCAACGAGAATTTTGCAGGAAATTTACTCCTAGCGAACAGATGTCCAATGACAAACTTTATAGGTAGCTATAGGTCGAGGTATTCCGAACAACTGAAAATAAATAAATGCTGACTATCAATAGTTCCTTTCCCGTGCTCATGATCGAAATAAGAAAAAAACTCAAAAAGTCAGCAAAGTACTAAGCGTGCGGAAAATTTACAAAAACATGCACTTGCCGGAATTCTTCCAACCAACGCTTTTAAACTCCAAATTTCTGTACAAAAGAGGCGCCTTAATTGTGCGCCTTGTGCTGGTAAACATTCCTGTACCAGCTCAAAGAAGAAAGTTTTAAAAGCTTTGTTTGTTTTGATGTCACCTTCTATTGTAAACAAGCCTGTAAACTGCCAATATTATGTATCAAAGGAAAGCAAAAACGTTTTCCATATGGTTTAAAAAAAGTTTTTTAAACCATATGGACCCGTGTGCGTACTTGTTAAAATGGTCACGCTACGCCCCTGCATTATACTTCGTGAAATCATTACCTACTTTGAAGGCACTGACAGTCATTGCTGATATCATGCAGTCAAGCGCTCCACTCATGCGAAGCTATGCATTATCAGTCATGCATCGAATGTTTTTTTAAAATTTCTTCTCAGTTTGTTCTCAATGATCATATGCGTAGATGTTTTCATTGCTTGAAGAAACGTTAACAGTTTTTGACCCTCAAGAGACGGTAACTATCCTTACATGCCGCTAATTCCTGAATTTTTTTTTTAGGATAGCTCCTTACGTTGTTATGAGGCCTAATTTATTGTATGGCTACCCAAGGACAAGATTTTGGGAGAAACTAGCAGATTCTTCAATGTCTTCTTTGATCGCTTGAAGTCGTCAACAAGTTTATCACTTAAAATTAACTACAGCCCACAGCTCTCAGTTTCGTCAGAACCTGCGTGCGATTCTCCATTTTAATCTGGACTCAGTGGTGTGCAAGCTTTGCTGACTCCGTTACTCCCTCCAAATCACCTAAAGAAGGTAGAGTTAATGCAAGGCTATCAAAACTATCAGCGGTGCGTTCTTTTTCTTCTCCAAACAGATTAAGAGCAGTGCATGCCGACAAGAACCTAGAGCCGCGTGGAAGTCACCAAGTGAATGTTGAGTGGCCCCAAGGTTATGATAACTATCAGCAGTGTTTGCGTGTTCTTCTCGAAACAGTTTTAAGGCGGATATCAACTGTATTCTGTAGAGAATCTTTTCAGTTGTGTGTGTGTTTTGTGAGTTCGATGTCCGAAATGATATCGACTACAAAATCGAACGGTCATGGTTCAAGATGATTTAGGCTTGCAGACTTGAAGAGTTAATATTTTTCCTTGGTATTCTTTACACAGGGAATAAGTATTTTTAGTTAACTCAGAATATGGAAATACAGTGAAACCTGTATATAACCGCGGCCACCCCTTTTTTCAGCTTGATTTACACAAACGTCACGATTCCTTATTTTTTAACTCCTTAATGGTTCGCAACGTATTTTGAATTGGCTCTTCATTGTTTAGATCTCGACTTGTGATTGGCTAATTTCTCCAAATTTTGTCTGGGTGGCCCCGGTTCGTGTGGTCGCACTGTGATCACTAAAAATACTCACCGGGCGTGGCCTGATGTCAATTTTAATGGCGTATCATACAAAAACACTTCATGCAAGGAAACAATTGCATGGACGTATATATACTTAACATTGTGTAAAAGTACTGTGCAATATATTTTCCTCTACTCTTCTCCGGTATACCCTATTTCTGTGACTTAAAGTGTACAACAAAATATCTTATTCCGTTGTTACGTTCAATGTGCAGTTCAAGTAACGTAAATGTTACTAATTTAAAGTAGCACAAAATGACATATGGCTTAGTTTTCGTACGTTCAAGGATGAGCGCTTTATAATACAGGTAAAAATGATAAAGAAAGATAACGTAGGGCTGCTGGCGGCCTCTTAATAGAGGTGGCCGCCTAATACAGGTAACAAATATAGTGTTTGTATGAGCGAAAAATCGGGACTTTGAAAACTGGCGGCTTAATACAAGGTTGCATACAGGTTCCACTGTAGGAAAGAAACAAAACTTCAAATCGCCTTGGCTGTTTCAACGCTTGATCAACTGGACGATTTTGTTCCACTCCTGTTTTTCTGTAAAGAGTTCTACTTCGTTCGATGACCGAACTCAATCGAACTCGTTGGAAAATAAAACATTGTAACCTGGTCCCAGAGGTTTTTCTTGAAACATTCAGACTGAACATTTAATTTTCTTCAATTCGAATATTTTTTGTTTGTTCGATTTGGTTGAATGGCCGCGTGAGTGTATCGAAAAAATGTCTCGTGTCGTTCGAGAGAGTTCGAAAACCGAACGTTCGATGTGAT